AATCTGTCTGATAGGCACACACAGTCTCCCTCCACACACACACACATTCTTGCTCTCTTTTTCACCGATGCTCCTCTCTCGCTCTCTCTTCACTCTGCAGTCCTGCCCCCGACTCTTTCTATGAATCTGATTTAAGACCGTCACTCCGGGCGACGTTAATGCTCATTTTCAGGGATTCACTGTTGCTATTTATCGCTGCATGAGCTGTTTGAAAAAAGGAAGTTTTACAAACAAAAATCTTTGTCTCCTTTCAAACTTTGAAGTTGCATCAGGAGAGATTTCTAAGTAAAAAAAAATAATGTTTTTTAAAGTATCTCATGAGAATGTGTTATGAGCTCAATTCTGAATTTTGGGCCCCAGTGTAGAGGTGATGTCCACTTTTTCTACACATCTTCAAACTACTTGATTCTTACTGCAATTGTGCCAAAACTATTTTGTCTAATGGTTTGCAGAATATTGCAAGGGGCCCCTACATAATGAATGCTATAAAATAGGCCCCCTTGTGTTTGATGGACAAATTCAACATGTCGAGGTTTTTCCAATTAAACTTGTGAATTTCTGGGATTTTTGCATGGAAATCAGCCTATTATATTCAGAAAGCCGACTAGAAACATACAACAGTTAGCTCTGAGCTAGCAATTTGATTAGACATGCCGATATCAAGTGCTGATAAAGCCGACTGTACAGGAAATCAGCATAGGGCCTTTAACTGTATAATAATAATAAATTAGATTTAAATAGCACTTTTCTAAATACTCAAAGATGCTTTGACAGGAAAAAAACAAAAAGCAAAGCAAAAACTAAGAGAACAATAGAACATAGAAGTAGTGTCGAGGGAAGAGGATGAGAGTCAGTGATGAAGAGGTGAGTTTTGAGGGATGTCTTGAAGGAGGTGAGTGTGGGGGAGTTTCTGATGTTTTTAGGGAGTTTCAGAGGGTGGGCGCTGCAATGGAGAAGGCCCTGTCCCCCAGAACCAAAGGTTGGTCCTGCAGTGGGGGGGGGACAACTTGGTTAATTATGCAGAGCAGACGTCCATTTTCTTAATGTTTAGACAGGAGTAGAAAAAGTTTGGGTTGTCTGGTAAGAGTCCACTTACAGTCAAAGTGTAAAACTCCTTGTGTTGTTGGTTAAATTAAATCAAATGAATAATCTCTTGCTTGCAACTGTTAAGGACTACATGCTGCTTGTGGTTTAAAAATGATATCACACTGAAGGTCGTGCTGTTGGCCTGGATTTAAACACAGCCGTGTTGCAATTCAGTATAACATCACTCACACTTATAATGCTTCATTCTTTTCTTTTTTTATGCACCCAACAATTCTGACCTGCTGTTGTTTTCATTTGAATCTTTCAACACATTATTTGTTTCCTGTTTCATATTTTGTGAGAAACTGTTGGAATGTGAAACTTTGTATTTAACCGTTTTTCAGTTATTTGAGAAATACAGCCTGTGGCAGAAGCTGTTTCTGTCTTTTTTTGGAGGTTATCTCTTTAGACCCATCTTGCTGTCAATCAAGAAACCCTCTTACACACACACACACATGCAGTTACAAGCACACACCTACCTGAAAGGGACAGATAACTAAGTCAAGCTCATTCTTTGACCACAAACGGTTAACAGTCGAAAGAGGACATGATGCATGTGGATGCGCACATTTTTTGTGTGTGTGTCTGATCAGGAAGGGGGCCGTTGGAGATCGGTTGGCCCAGAAGGGGCCCTGAGGGTGGAGCTGCGGTCAAAAGGGGAGGGGGCTACGTGGAGGGAGAGGATGGCGGAAAGTAGGGTAAGTTTCAGTCTGTGTGTGTGTGTGTGTGTGTGTGTGTGTGTGTGTGTGTGTGTGTGTGTGTGTGTGTGTGTGTGTGTAAAGGGGGGAGTATACGCTCATGAAACTTAAAACTCACACTTAAAAGAGAGTAGGGGGCTGAAAGATGATTGAGTGAATGTGAGGGAATACATTTTTTTTTTACTCCATCAGAATTGTTTGTGTTTGTTCCTTTGTTTACAGGTTAGGTGAGAGGGAAACAAAATATTAGGTTTTGGTCTTGCACTAGTTTTTAAAAGCAATGCGCTACTCTAACATACAGAGGCAGGAGAAGGTTGTGTGTGTGTGTGTGTGTGTGTGTGTGTGTGTGTGTGTGTGTGTTTCTATAAGTAGCATCATCTGAGGCGTCACTGCTGCGTGTGTTTGGCCTCAGCTCAGCGTCGGTTAAACCACTTAATGGCTCCATCTCGATCTAATCCCAAACCAAGACCCAGGATTAACCAGGGAACCAAGCACTTTGCGCTGCATCCTGCATGTGTGTGTGTGTGTGTGTGTGTGTGTGTGTGTATGTTTCTTACCTTCATGTGAATGTGGGAACCAGATAGGAGAAGCCCTCGAATGGGGTCCAGCCCTGTAAGAGGGGGAGGAGGGGGAGGCAGCAGGTCCCGAGGGGTGAGCAGGGTGGGAGGGCGGGGACCCCAGACTGCTGGCCAGGAAGGAACCCATGAAGGAAGCACCTGAGGGAGACAGAGGCCCGGGGGTTAGGGGGGGTTACAGATAGACTTTAGTCTTAGAAAGGGGGTGTCTAGTGAAGCAACACCACAGAAGAAGAAAGGAGACACTTTGATAGATGATAAATCTAGAAAGGACACACTAATAGCCAAAAAAAAAAGAAGCTTTATATGTTCTATTATAGATCTTCTATATGTCTCACTTTTCACACACATCCTTCTCTATGTCTTTGATTTTTTACAATTGTAAAGATATTTGTGTCAGTCGTTTCATGCAGACACGTCATTGAGAAAACCATAAAGCGCCAAACATTTTTATTTTCAACTTCAAAATATAATTAAAAGAAGCAATAAAGCAGATTTTTCCGTCCACATAAAGACAACTTCAAATGTTATTCACAATTGTCCCTTAATAGTAACATAAATCCATGCCAGAAGTGAGACACATTGGATCTGGAAGGTTTCATACAACTAGTGCTGCAAAAGTATAACTGCATGACCTGCCCTGGAGAATCCCATTAAACTTTATTCACCTGTGACTGAATTCTGATCATATATTCTCCTCAAGTGTGACACACACACCAGTTTTTTCATGCTTTAAGTTATGATCCGGAAAGAGGTTGAAGGGGATCTGACTCTGTATAGACTTGGTCCTGAGTCTCGAGACTAACAAGCAACTTGTATCTGAACGCTCAAATGTGAAATCATCTTTTTTGTCTGCGTCTGCTGACATTATTTTGGTGCTGCTGTTAGCCGGCAATGTGGTGTATTGATAACCAAGATAGTTTAATGTCAAAGTTAATGTGGAGCCAGTTTTAGTTCAATGTTAAAGGGCTCTAATGTACTGTGTAATCTAGAGCAGCAGTATTAGTAGTAGTGTACAATCATTGCTTTAAGTCCCTTTGGTTGTTTTGTGTGAGATGAAATGTAGCCCCCTCAGTTGTTTAAGTAAACACATTGTTAGTGCAGAGGGGGGGCCACAGTAAAAGAAGGGAGCTCAAGCCCCAAAAAAAACCTGGATAGTCCAGTATAAACGTTGAAGTAGGCTCAACCTCTGCATCCCCTGCAACATGTAACATTCACTTCATCAAGTCCATGTTCCCGCTAGATGGTCATATGATATGAACATAAACATCATATTTTCACATCGATTAACATCACAAACAATGTAGAGGAAAACAAAATCAGTGCTTTCCACAGTGTATCTGAAAAGCCCTCAAAGTCATGTCTCTATTGACCCTGTGGAGTTTGTGGGTTGTTGCCCCTAATGTTTCAGGACAGGATTGTTGTTGCTGCTTTACTGGACTTGTGATTCCACAGAAACAATGGTTTAAGTCACTAATGCTAACCGTTGTATTCAAGGGTTATATGGAGATCCATGGTTCAGTTTCACTTAACGCCCACAACTTTAACTGCAAGCCTAGCATTAAATTGTTGGCCGTGAAAACTGGTAGTCACTCAGGCCCTTGCCCACATCTATGGCTACTCATCCTTTCAATCCTCATTCAACTCGAGGACTCGATGTATTCATTATCCTCTTTACCAAAAACACACCTGAAGACCTGAAGACCTGTGTGTCAGGCAAAGATGACTATTTTATTAGGACACTCGGGTCAGGATCATTTTAAGACATCCCGTCAATGATGTTTCCAGGAACTGTCCTTTCAGACGAGCACCTCACAGCGGGAAATTGTCTTTGTCAGACGCACAAAAATTCAAAGTTTTCCATCTTTTATGTCCAACTTCAAACTCTCTGGATTGCATGTGTAAGTGTAAGCTTTTTTTTTTTTTTTACCAGACACAAAGCTTCACAACAGATGCTAAATCTAAATTTTCTTGACCAGTCTTGAAAAGGGGAAGACAACAGCAGATGTGCAGCATCTTTGCTTTATTCTCAGCACACTTTTGTCCTTTAACAATTTAATCTGCTATTGGTCACACACGAGCAAAAGAAGACTAAACAGATTTTACAAGTCAGGAGTTATTCTTTAACTCAGAGCAAGCAGAGATGTTCAGTGACATCCCGGGCGTACACACACTGTACAGTTTGGCTCTGCTCAAATGTTTCTCCACTTATCAGCGTGCTCTCATTTAGCGGAACAACCTGAACAGTTGTAGGGGAAGGAGGAAACAAATCCACGGGGAGCCAGGTAATTAGTCACTGGATGGAGGGAGAGAGAGAGAGAGAGAGGGAGAGAGGTGGTGGGTTGAGTTGTTCCCTATAAATGCCGCCTCACATCAGAGACAATTACCGCAACCACAACAGTCCATATTTGACACACACACACACACACACACACACACACACATATGTACAGTACCTTCACCTCAACCACGACCCGACGCCCTGACAACCACAACCACAAGTCCCTTCTACTGTCTGCCAATCTGTCACACACACACACACACACACAAGTAGCAAGGAGATGGAGCAGGGGGTGCGTGTTCAAAGACGAGGCAGAAAGAGTGTGTGTGTGTGTGTGTGTGTGTGTGTGTGTGTGTGTGTGTGTGTGTGTGTGTGTGTTATACAGCTGCATCAAAAAGACGAGATCTCTCAATCTTCTGCTTTTGATATTTTCACTTTCTGCAGTCATAATAAATTTTGAGGAAGTAAAAAAAAACAAAAAAAGTCCAGAACGTTCCCTTCCAGACATTTATTTTCTCTCTCTTCTCTCAGACAGGATATTTTTACAGTGTTTTTTCTTTCTTTCTTTTTTTTTTTACTGTAAATCCTCTCCTCCTGTACGACGATGGATCAGTGGCCTTTCAGCCAGTCATAATAAAACACAGCTCATATAAGACTCAGGCTGGTTTCACAAGCCCCCTCTGGCAGTGCAGAGTCTCAAACACACACACACACACACACACACTCAAAGACAGACTGATACACACACTGCTCACTGTAGCAGACAACGGAAAAAGAAACCAGTTTTCAGCTGAGCAGTCATGCATTTTTGAAATTACTGCAGCATCTTAAAGTGTCTCAAACAGGCAATGTGAACTTATCTTAAAGAAAACATTAAAATCATGTGATACACTGATTTCAAACAGTTTTCTCTATTGATGAGCTAGTTAAGCGATGTAAATACCTCACATTCTTTGTTGACTTTTCTCCCGGAGTTGCTCTTTAATCTCCAACCTTCCCCCCATATCCCCATCTTTTTTCCATTTGTTCATTCCTTTCCTTTTCTCCTCTTTCCTGTCACCTCCTCTTGCCGCCCCTCTCTGTCTGTTTTCTGTTGGCGATTCAAGGAGAAAATCATATTTTGTCCGCTCCCTCTGGCCGGCTGATATGGAAAATCATCTCGGAGGCCAGCCGCTAACATAAACCTTATTTCTTGTCCCTGATTTTTTTTTCTCTTCATCGTCTCTTCCTTCCCTCTGTTTCCGCCTTTGTTTAATCATGATACACACATTCTCTTTCCATCTGTCGCCCGCTGCATCCGATCCTTTCATATAGTTTCTCTCAGAAACAGAAATGATGAATGCTAACACAAAAACATTAACGTATGATGAGGAAAACTAAAATCTATCTCTACTTGATACTATGTTTGATTTTCCTGATGTCAAAAAATCCAGCCCTGACCGAGTTGACATCCAGATTATGCAGCTTATTTCTACATGCATTTTTTATTTACCATCAATAAAGGCTGCTGTCAGAGAAAAACAGCCCCATTCAGTCACCATACTGGTAATTAAAGTAGAAAATGTGCTCGCATGCCTCCCATTTTTCCCAGTTGGCATCAGGACTTGGAAAAGTGTGTCAACACACAGGCAGCAAAATCCTCCAATGTTGACAATCCAAGGTAATAAAAATCCAAATTATGACTTTCTATTCACACTAATACAGTCAGCTGTACTTACAGTGAGCAAAATCTGCTTTAGTTTATTCATGATTGACTGTAATGTGATTTGCTGAGGGGGGAAATCCACTCAAAAACACTTAAACACTCTTTTTTTTTTTTTTTTTTTTTTTTTTTTTTTAAAGAAAGCAAGCGCTGGAAACATGCCTCGCTTTTCTGGGCAGGTTTCGCTACTTGGCATATTTTTGGTATTCTCATGGATAACGGGGCCAAACATACATTTTGGGATGTCGTCGTGTTTTCCAGAGCGAGAGTTTGATAGCAGCAAATCTGGAGATTCAACAGTATAAACGTCAGGATTTGGTGTCAGCGCTTCGTAGTTTTAACAGCCAGAGCTTCAGAGACGCCATTTTTACTGTGATGTTAAACAGTCAGACAGGGAGGACACAAAAACATACAATTCTCCACAGAAAGTAGCTTTTTAAAAAGGTAAAAGTCTCACATTGTTGCAGCTTCCAGGGGTTGATTGAAATAAAACTTGAAGAGAAAAGTTTATAGATTTTTCAAGAGTGCCCTTATGTTGCCACTTGATGCTTTTAATTAATTAGGATAAATCAGTCAGATCTGCTCTCAATACTTTGCATTTATGATATGACAATGTAAACACTCTCATCATAAATCTAAAGTGTCTGTCAACAGGAAGAGAGAAAAGTCCAAGGTTATTTTCTTATTTTAGGACTATAACAGCAATCCTCTTGAAATGATTAAAGCAATTGATTGATAGTATATGCTTTACAGACTGACACAAGAAAAGCGTGTGAAAAAAAATTGCCCCGCACCCTTTGTGTGAGTGCAGCAACAGAAACGTAAAGTACAACAAAACAGACACAGAGCAGATGCAGACAAGACCATCCCAAGGTTTTTCACTAAAGAGAGGAGGAGGAGGAGGAGGAGGAGGAGAGAGAGAGGAGAAGGAGGAGGGGAGGAGGAGGAGGAGAGAGAGGAGGAGAAGGAGGAGGGGGAGGAGGAGGAGGAGAAGGAGGAGAAGGAGGAGAAGGAGGAGAGAAGGAGGAGGAGGAGGAAGAGGGAAGGAGGAGGAAGAAGAGGAGGAGGAGGAGGAGGAGAGAGGAGGAGAAGGAGGAGGGGAGGAGGAGGAGGAGAGAGGAGGAGAAGGAGGAGAAGGAGGAGAGAAGGAGGAGAGGA